GGGATGAAATGTAGTATATATAACTATATTTATAGCCTTCAGACTTTACTTACGCTACTAGAGATGCTTCAGACAGCAATCCGTGATTAATAATAATTTTTATGCTAATCCTAATTCTCCTAATTTTTATACTCATATGATTCTCTTGTTTTGAGAAATTTTTTCTTTAAAACAATAAGTTCCCTTTATGAATTTAGATAAAGCAATCAGAGAAGACGTAATTTGTCTGAATCGTGTGTATGTAATGTATTTGCGCAACACATTTCGAACAATCTGATCCATCACACACGGACTTGTCATAGGAATATATGTGAAATTAATAAAGAGGTAAGAGGTGAGAAAATAGATAAGTTAGGTCAAGTTAAAAAGGACATATTGAAGGTCAAAATAACAATGAAGACCACTAAACCAAATACCAGAGGTAATAGTGTGTCTACCCTGGATGGTATCAAAACAAAGTTTACCAAGGAAGCCTTAGTAAGGTGCCTCCTTAGTAGAATCCAACGAATATGCACTGAAGCCACACATGATGGGGAATAAAGAAAGTTGACATAAACTCTGGTTGATAACAATTATCCAGACAAGTTCATCAGGAGATATAATGTAGTCAGAATACTAAAACCCACTCTCCAACTCGCCCTTGAGAAAGACGTGAACATCAAGCTATTCTTATATTGAAACAAGGTTAATCAGACAGCAACTAAAGTAAGATTGAGTTAGTAAGTTAGATGACGTAATATAATTGACTGAAATGGCTAAGCTTAGGTCAGGGTAGCAACAGAGGTAATTACAGGTAGAGACTTAACAGAAGTGAGGTAGAGAATAAGTCCTTCTGTATACACAGTTCAGGGCTTAGCAAGTGAATTGCTATTGCTTCTGCAGTTTGAAGAAGTTTAATTCATACACTTTTAGGAAGCCTGCTTCGTAATTTGTAGACGACTTTCAAGTTTGTTTGGGGCGTAGCTTGATGTCCGGAATTTATCAGATATTCTAAGACAGAGCTGCATGGGGGCATCGTTTTTCTCCTTTTGTATTGTAAGTGTTCGGTATACGTTTGGAAAGTGAACGCTGGGTACGGTCAACATACCTGGCTTCACACTAGCAGGTATATTGGCAGATACACAGTGATAGGGCCAGCAGCGGTAGCTTATCCTTCACATTCATACGAATCAGTGGTTTTGTGGAGAAGGTTAATCCTAGTTCAGCTGTGAAGAAGGTTTTCTTAAGTGAACGCGACAGTTGATTTTTCAGTTTTTTCGCAAACAAATCTTCATTGAATTGAAGGTTCATGTAGAGGAGTTTTTCCGGGACTTTAAGCGTGGTCGGCTTTTACTGTCTAGGATTCATGAATTTTGCAATAAGTCATTCCGGTTAACGATTCTCGACGAGGATTTTCTTGAGATTGCTCAGTTCATCTTCTATGGTATCCAGGGTGAAAATTCTGCGAATTCTCTAGTTGAGTGAATGAATTACGTTAAGTTTGTTGTACAGGGGTACCCAACTGTGGAAGTTAGTAAGCTGTTCATTCCACGTCGACTTTCTGTAGATAGATCTTTTCAGTGTTGCATCCTGTTCTCATCTTGTTAGTTGCACGTCAAGAAAGGATATTTTTAATTAGACTCTTTCTCTAACGTGATCTGAATCACGGGGTGGCTGTTGTTAAAGGAATTCAAGATACTGTCTAGATTTTCTTGATTGTTGAAAGTGTTGATGAAAGTGTAGTCGAAGTATCTCTTATAGATTTCGAAGCTATCGATCATTTTCTTCAGGCATGTGTTTTCGAGTTTTACCGTGAAGAAATCTGCAAGCAATGGGCCTAGCGGTAAGCTCACAGCTATACCATATATATATTTCATTGTTAAAAGAGAATTGAACATTCAGGGTACACCTAAGTAGTAGTTCTTTAAGTCATTTGTGTGTAATTACCTTTCTGACTGAGTATTACTCCCAGCATGAATGGCGTCTCATGAACATTCTTGCTCAGTGGTTTTTTGAAATGCACAAACAAACAAGAAAATGAACGTCAAACACGTTTCTAATGTCAGATTAAGGATTTTCAATATTATCTATCTGTAGACCGTCAGCTTTTAAAAGGGGTATGTTGTTATTGTCGTGGTATTACATAATAGGCTGGATAAATCGTTTCTTAACACAAAATTCAGATTTCGTTTTTAAGGATTACGAATGGTTCGGCTGCATGAAAATGTTGGCAAAATCCTTTCGATTGACTTAGTTACTCTTAATATGTAACTCTGAAAGTAGTTTCTGCTGATGCTGCATGAACTGAATTGTTGACTGTTCCAGGTTCTCCCTTTGACAGCCATGTTCATGGGTGCGTGTATCAAATTCTCCCCCCCCCTCCTTCGGGTAAAGCCGATGTATTTATCTCCATAGAAGTAAGTGAATCGGTAAAGACACGCTTAAGTTGCCAGCAGAGTGATCTTGTCTTTGACATTTTGGTGAATAGCAACATGTTTGCAGAAGGTGAGGCATAGAGATGCAGCAAACGACGTTCTTTGAAATGATTTTGACAGGCGGCTTCGATGGACCTCACCAATTCCATCTCTCTTGAATTTCAGATTTACAATTATTTGTGTCTTTGGCACATCCTGGCTTCGAAGAGTATTAACTGGTCTTTGTCTTTGGGTGTTTATTGATGAAGAAGATTGCATGTCTGTTTTTGACTAGATTTTTTCTGAAGGATTCCGATTCTATATTCAGTATGTCTTCAGTGCATGTATGGTATATTCTTGCCACCATTGTTGTGAGGAGGTTTCTCTTTGTACTCACCGGGACAGAACTGTGATGTTTTATTATTTTTTTATTTCAATTTAGCCTGTGGTCGATTGGTCTTTGTTGGGTCCCATCTGATCGTCTAGAAAGGATTATTGATATAAGTATAAAACTTGGGCACCCTGGTGGAGTATAACTCCATTATGGATAAGATTTTTTTTGATAAGTCACACAGTGTTACACAGTAATATTAACTGATGACCACGTTTCGAGCACAAACTATGACTGCTCATAAACATATCAAGTTACTCACACAACTTTTTACTTAATTTTTATACATGTGTGGAACTGACTAGATATTTAAGTGAAAATCAATATAGGATAATGTACACTCAGAAATAATAATATGAGTGTTATTGATCAATTACAACCAGATGGGAAATAAGACGAGTGTTTTTATAGTCATAGTAAGTAACTTGTTAGAATGTTATGATGTGCTTGAATTGAGATTATTTATTATCATCCTCTGATTTGACTGGCGACAATAATCTCTTCCATATTTCTGGTATTTGCATTGAGTCATTCCTGTTGCGTGGGTTGGGTGTAGACCCAATGAACCAGAATTCAGTAATCAATCTCTTTCTATCTCTACCTACCTACATTACTTCTTAGAATCTTAACCTTCTCCCAGACTATTGTGTGATCATGTGTTAATGCATGCAGTGCAATCTCTGAGCTTTTTTCTAAATTTCATATCTTCTCGGGTCAACCATTCTTACCTTAGTCAAATTCTAATGTTCAGCAAATCTGATTACCCTCGATCTACTAGTTTGACCTATGTAGTTGACTTAACTCACGGTCATTGCAGGGTATTTTGTAAATTATATTATTTTGTTTAATTGAGTCCACAGGGTCTTTTAGCCTACGCAGCTTGTTCTACCTGAGTGAATTTGTAGGTTTAAATGCCATTCTAATCTCTGCTTTATTAAGAATCCCACGTAGTGAGTGTCTCAGATGTCCCCTCCCTCCTGATATGGTATAACCCCTGTAGATGACTTATATTCTCTCTTATTTATGTTATCATTACTAGTTTCACGATTATTTTATCTAGAGAAGATCATTTTCCTTCTGATTCAGCTTTAATTCTGAATTGAACTGAGTGATGAAGGTTGTTCAAGATGTGTAGGCCTTTGATTAGGTCCCTATTCCCATTGTCTTCTTCACTCCAATTTTTGAAGACTGCAGGAAAGTAGTAAATGTCTGGAACAAATTACGAATTTATATAGCCTCACCAAGTAACTTTCAGCCACATGCAGGTTGGTAAATACCAATCGTACCTTACCAAATAGAAGTATATACATATGAACATTACTGTAGTCCATCTTGATGCATCATGGAAGTCATTTCTTAACGCTTACTGAAGGCCTTCACCAGCAAATGATGAATTAATTGTCTGTATACCAAAGATCATATGCCTGGGTAGAAAGATAAACAAGAAGTAACTAGGACGATGCAGTCGATCAAACGAGATTCTATCTCTTAAAATACGCAGGAGAAACTGAGATAGCCTGGAAACGCTCTGGAGAAAGAGACCACTGAATGACATCACGAGACAGACCATTAGGCAGACCTCGAATAGGAAGACACTAGGTGGTTATGAGTCCGAAGGTGGCTTTAAAGAGATTGTGTGAGGCGGGGGCATGTAGGAAATAGTGGAACCAACTTAAAAAGAAAATAGTAAACCAGGTGCCATAAAGGTATGTTGCTGAAATCCGACGTTCCACTCGGAATCCAAAGGAATAATAAATATAACAGCGATAACCCTAAGGACAAAAGAAACTGGCGGAAAGCTGAAGCATTCTGCATAGAAGTAACGCTATAACCTCAACACATTATTAAGGTATAAAGTCGAAAAATCAACTATAAGTAAATCTGAAATACAAATATTGAAAGGTCGTGGGTTTGAACCTTGGAGGTGGGTGCGTACTGCTGAAGAGTCTCAAAGTGGGGAGAAACACACATCTGGCAGTACTCTTATCTGGTTTTCCAATGGTTTTATAACCGATATCAGCTCATTGTGAAATACTGTAATGAAATTCTTACAAACCAATACTTGAATGTCATTTAGAGTAAACTGTCTTTTAGTTTTTTTGGCGCTATTGGTTTCTCTCAAAGACGTCTAAATATTTTCACATTTTCTTAGCATATTCTTAAATCAACATTGCTTAATCCCTTTTGCTATTTTCTCTTCTCTTGAATTAACACAGCTTCAGACTGCTTTGATTATATGCGTAAAGGCAGTGAAATGATAAAATTACACACAAGTGGACGTCAATATAAACGAATATTTTATTTAAATGAACAAATGAATTGTATAAAATGGTCATCTTCTTCATCGAATAAACGTCAATCGAATTCACAAAGTAAGTAGACTTTTATATAATTACAGTTGATGCTTTGATGCTTGCATACACATAAATATTTGCGTACTTAATGCACTTTTGTTTGCTTCATATTCTTGTTATAAGTTTGTGTGACCATGTTGATAAGAGCACAACTTCACCTTGTTTTATTTCCTGTGGTTCCCTTTACCTGAACCCACCAGTGTCCATAGCCCGTCATCTTCGTCTCTCATGAATGCCCCTATATCACCATCGGACATAAGTACAACTCGTCGTTCCTCATTCGAGGTCTACTCGACCCATCACTTGGTGTATGATGTCATTCGGTGGTCTGATTAGAGTGTTCCCAATCCACCACCATTTTCTCTTATATATTTCCTGAGTGACACGTTATTGATTAGTTCCTTTCCAGAGCTTCGTGTCACTAATTCTTTCTCGCTGGTCAAACCGATCTACAGTATACAGCAAAGAAGACAGCTGGTGATAGTTGTCTTTAACTGGTTGTTTGAAATGCTTTTCGTGACGATCTGACCAGTTTTCTAATCCACATAGTAGAACTGACTGATTTAACATTGGTATTGAAAATTTGAATCTTGTTGTTTAAGCTGAGCTGGAGTTCACGAGATTTCCAAACTTATTTCAGACTGATGAAAGTGTAGCTCGCCTTTCCGATCTTGGCTGGCATCTTTGACATCCTTATCCATGGTTTCGCCTGTAGTTGAAACGATGCTCCCTAGATAATTGCAGGAAGTAACTGTTGTGTACTGCTGCTGAGTGAGTTATTAGAGTTTTCCCCGTCGCCAATTATGTTATGTACTCGTCGAGTAGTTAACAGTCCTGATGCGGAAAGAAAGAAATCAGAAGACCACTAGGTTTACGATGATACTTGTATTTTCCAGACAAGGAAAATAAATGTGACACAAGTGTGTGAGTGAAATGGTACGTAGCGTACGAAAAAGTGTGTGAACAAGAATAAAAATACAAGAGTATATATGAAAATGGCTAATACACATGAACCAATAAATAGCCAGTGATAAGATGATTGGCTGTAATGTCATGTGACAACAAGCTCATACATGTTTATTTAGTTAGTGGACAGACAAAAGCATATTGTCAGTTATAATGAAATATCGATCCATATACACATAGTAAAATATAATGCACTGTCAAGAACAAAACACACATCATGTGGATACATATCAGTAACCTCTTTCAAAAAGAATATGATTAGGTTCAATAAATCATCTTGACCAAAGGACAGACGCTGTGGAGGCCATCAGATGAAATCGCACGCTAGGTCATCCCTCACCTGAGTGGGAAACAAGGACCTGGACATGGTTCCAAAGGTGATCGTGTGATGAAGAGGGAATGAGAGTCCACGGGTAGCTGTGAGGCCAGATGGAGAAGACTACAGAGAACATGACAAAGTGGCAACGTGACGTTAATGCTCCATATTCCACTCGGAACGCAACGAGATTATAATGATAATAATTCGTCTTGACTGACTATGTAGTGCAGTGGGTTATAGCATTGTGTCTTTGAAGCCAGCCATTAGATTTGTGTCAGTTATCCAATGATTAAATACCAGCTAGTGACGCGTGCTTGGAGCCCCCATTCCCAGTAGATGCACTTATCGGCTTTCAGCCTGGATGAGGGAGAGAGAGAGAAGGTGAAGAAAGGAAGAGAAATCATCTTAGCGCCTAGTAACAGAATTTTAGTGTGATACTTCATGACATCTTAATTTGGCAGCTTCAAATGCTGACGTTAGTGAATATCAACATAGGATGGAAAACATATTTAGTGTAGATCAATGTTTTATTATTTCGTGGATTAAAAGTTTTACAAAAAATGCAGGTCTGTCAGCCATAACAGCCTAAATTTAGTTAAAGTTTAGACCCCGGCAATATCAGTGTACCGTATCATATAAGCTGTTTCTAGTGATACTGACTGTTTTGAAGAGTTGGTTTGTAAGGATTAGATTTTTTTCAAGTTTGACCACGGATTGATATCAATTAGAGAAGCATTGACAACCAGCAGGGAGTACTGCTAGACAGCTGTTTCATCCTAGTTTGGGAACCATTGCCAGTATGCACCCACTCTCTGCCAGGGTTCGAACCCAAGACCTCCTGGTTACAAGGCAAGCTATCTCGTAGACCATTCAGCCACTATAACCCAATTCAGGTGCCCATGAACTCTGCGTCGGTGGCACAGTGGTTAGGACTCTCGCCGACCATGCACATGGTCCGGGGTTCGAGCCCGCACCGACGCACACCTGATACCTATGGTCGGCCTGCGAAATTTGGGCTACCGATATCCATGCTGAAAATTCCATACTTGTACCGAAAATACAGTGTGGAATCAAGCTGTAAATCAAAAAAAAAAATTCTTGATTTAACACGATTACCGGCCAATGTCATCGGTGGGATATCCATCCTCACACTTGACTGGATCAATGCGCATAAAAATGTATCTGTATTGGGCATGTCAGTGTAAATTTTGATATTCATTGAAATGAAACAGGATATATGATCCACATGATATCCTAAATGATAATCAAGAAATCAAGCATATTTGCATTAAACTATATACTACTGATTGAGCATGATGAGTAGTCGCATACAACTCACACCAGCCAGTAATGCCTACCAGCTAGCCAGATTTAAGCGATCTTTAAAGCCAGACGGCCATTTCTCTCATTTCAGATGGAGCTCATCACAGATGTAGCCTGCCTAGCTGGCATCCGTGCTCTGACTGTGTGGATTACAAATCGCTGGCCAATTTGTAAATTGTGAATCTGATATTTGGGGTCACCAGTTTGCCCAAGTTGCTAGACAGAAATCGGGTGGTTCGAAGTGATTTGGCTGTCTGAGTCAAACCAGGGGTACAGTATAGGTGTTTGAAACACGTCGAACTGGCTAGCTGGGAAGCGTCTTCTCATCTCAATTAATAAGTAGTGGGGATGTCTTTACATCAAAAGTGTGCGTTTTTAGTATTCTTGCCTTATCTGAGCTACTTGTTATGATGTTAACAACCTTCATATTTCGTCATAACAGTGATGCTGAAATTGGCCCACCAATCTGGAAATAGACGGAATCACATCTATGCCAACAATATTATATGACAGCCACCCTATTCCCAGTCTCTCCTACTTAAGTGAGACTACACAAAAGACGAGACTGAAAGTAAGGGCATATTTCACGAAATAATCAATGTATGATTCAAAAAATTACCAAGTCGGTCTGTAATAATGATCAATAAAATAATGGGCCTTGTTTCAGCTGTATAAATTGTGATTGGTTTATTTCCAGACTACATATCGGTCTCCACTCTGCATCACTAGCTTTCATCATCCTTCTGTATAATACTTACGGCATTGACTTCACTGAGAAGTGATCTTTCCGATTCGTACACGCGTAAATTATTCATCTTTCCCTGTGATATTTACCGTAGTCGACTAGCCCTGGCGGTTGTTTTATGATTAGAATCGTCAGAACAATGAAAGCTTCACAATCAAATTAGTTAGCTGAGGCATTACGAATATACACCAAAAACTAACTATACAGCACAATATTTGACATGGTAATTTTATATACAATATGAACAATGTTGGAATAAATGTGCCACTGTGCGTCGGTGGCACAGTGGTTAGGACTCTCGCCGACCATGCACATGGTCCGGGGTTCGAGCCCACGCCGGCGCACACCTGATATCTATGGTCGGCCTGCGAAATTTGGACTACCGATATCCATGCTGAAAATTCCATACTTGTACCGAAAATACAGTGTGGAATCAAGCTGTAAATCTAAAAAAAAAATAATAATAATTCAGCTAATTTCTCTTATGACAGGAGTAATTTTCAACTGGCTTTTATTTGCATAAATTACTCTTTCAGTTGACATTCAGCCGTGACAGCTGTCAGTTGTTAGTAAATTAATCTGAACATTAAAATAGAGACTATACTATGTATGGTATAATTAGTCTTGTATCACAGTATATTTTCTGCGCTGCTTTTTTCTCCCAATCCGTTGCTTACTCATCGATATATGTAAAACATTTTGTAGTATTCAGCTAGATTCACAGCGAATCACTTAGAATGTTAGTTGATTATAGGCTTTTGGTAGAACAGACAGGATTAACGGGAATAATCATGTGTGTTATGTTATTGTTCGCTTGGCTTCTGAGTGGACTATAGAGCTTCAATGTCTGATCCAATGCATAGAATAAGTGACTAATTTAACATTGTTGTTAAGAATCCGAATTTTTTATTCACCCTGAGTACAGTAGATTTCTACACTGATTTTAGGGTGTTTAAGGTCAATATCACCTTTCTGATTCTGGTTTTGACATCTGGATCCGTGTCCGTGTGCCTGTAGTTGACAAGATGCTTCCCTTGTTTTGTTGTAATCTATATACACTCACAGCCTTCATCTTTCATATCAAGTTGAAAATCATCGTCACCTTAAAATTTCCTCCTTCAAATTGTAATTATGTGGAATCTGATAATAATAAGCTGTGTAATCTGTGTAAACTGATGTATATCAGTGCGATTGTACACCTGGTTTTCGAGAAGGAAGTCACCGAAAACGCATCTGTTTTACTATTGATCTTCTTGTTCATTTTCCCACTGATATGTTTTACAGAGAAGTCCAAAATTAGAATGAAACTGTCGTCTATCAATAACGTTTTATTTTACCCCATGTTTTTTTTCAGCTGAAATAGTGTTTTATATAGAGTGTGTTTTATCACCTTAACAGGAAAGAATATTTCATCCAATTACTGGTAAACTGAACAAGCAAAACTGTATTTAATACTGTTCATTATAGCAAATTAAACAATCTAGAGTTAATCTTATTGATATGTGTCTAAAACCTGGGCACTGCGGTAATGTATAACTCCGTTATAGATAAGATTTGTATTAAAAGTCAATCTGAACGAAGAATATTCTTTCCAAGAAATTATCTTCAGGTTCTTACAATCATAAAATATATTAATATTTGTTGTCGTTACAATAAAGGCCAGTC